ACTACACCAGATGTGTAGTGTGAAGGATGTGAAGGGTAACAAGAAGGGTTTCTATAAGTACATCAGCAGTAAGAGGAAGATCAGGGAAAGTGTGAGTCCCTTAATGGGGGAGGCATCCTACTGACAGAGGATGCAGAAAAGGCTGAAGTACTCAATGCCTTTTTTATCTTGGTCTTCACAACCAAGGTCAGCTCCCAGACTACGATTTAGAAAAGCTGGAGATATAGAAGTACATGGGACCAGATGGGATGCACCCAAGGGTACTGAGGGAGTTGGCTGATGCGACTGCAGAACCACTGGCCATCAACTCTGAAAACTCACAGTGATCGGGAGATGTCCCGGATGATTGGAAAAAGGCAAACATACTGCCCATTTTAAGAAAGGAAAAAAAGTAGTATCCAGGGAACTACAGACTAGTCAGCCTCACCTCAGTCCCTGGAAAAATCATGAAGCACATCCTCAAGGAACCCATTTTTAAGCAGTTGGAGGAGAAGAAGGTGATTAGGAACAGTCAGCATGGATTTACCAGGGACAAGTCATGCCTGACCAACGTAATTGCCTTCTATGATGAGAGGACTGGCTCTGGATGCAGGAAGATCCATACATGTGGTATACCTTGATTTTAGCAAGGCTTTTCATATGGTCTCTCACAACATCCTTGCAGGCAAGCTAAAGAAGTATGGGCTGGATGAATGAAGTATAAGGTGGATAGAAAACTGACTGGAGAATCAGGCTCAGACATCAATGGCTCAGTGTCTAATTGGCAGCCAGTATCAAATGGAGTGCCCCAGGGGTTGGTCCTGGGGCTGGGTTTGTTCAATATTTTCATCAACGACTTGGAACATGGCATAGAGTGCACCCTTAGCAAGTCTGCAGATGACACCAAGCTGGAGGGTGTAAGATATGCTGGAGGGTAGGGCTAGGATTTGGAGTGACCTAGACAAATTGGATGATTATTCCCCTCTATTCAGCACTAGTGAGGCTACATCTGGAGTAGTGTGTTCAGTTTTGGGCCACTCACTACAGAAAGTATGTGGACAAATTAGAGAGAGTCCAGAAGAGGGCAATGAAAATGGTGCGGGAGCTCAGGCACATGATTTACGAGAAGAGGCTGAGGGAGCTGAGCTTATTTAGTTCGGAGAAGAGAAGACTGAGAAGGGATTCAATAGCAGCCTTCAACTACCGGAAGGTGGGTTCAAAACAGGATGGAGCTAGACTGTTTTTAGTGGTGCTAGAACAAGGAGCAATGGTCTCAAGTTGCAGCACGGCAAGTTTAGGTTAGATATTAGGAAGAATTTTCTCACTAGGAGGGTAGTGAAGCACTGGAACAGGTTACCCAGAAAGGTTGTGAACTCTCCATCCTTTGAGGATTTTAAAACACAGCAAGACAAAACCTTGACTGGGATGATCTAGTTGGGGATGGTCCTGCTTTGAGCACAGGATTGGTCTAAATGACTTCCTGAGGTCCCTTCCAACCCTAATTTTCTATGGTTCTATCATTCTTCATATGATAGAATATATGAAAAAATATTTCATATTTTCAGTACTTCATATGAAAAATAATACTGTATTTACTTGAACAGAGGATGAGGTTTTTTCCCCTGATCAGCCTGAGGAAAAAAGCCATCTTACATTTGCATACAAGGAGACCTGATTAAATACACAGTCTTTCATTAAACTGCTGCCAAAAGCAGCAAGCGCTCAGCAATGGGAACAAACTATGAAGTTGATTAATCAGTTCCAAATTCTATTGGCCAAGCAGAACTCAGTTGCTCACGACCATGTGGTGCTATCACTGGCAAGTATTCTCCCTCCCAGATTCTTCAGCCTAGGGCTTTAGATACTCCCAAATCCATGGCATGCATCCATGCAAGCCCCAAGCCTAGAGGTCTTGGAGTTCAGATGCCCCTGAGTCTTGCTTGCTCTCAGCTCAAAGGCCACAGGAACAAGCTAAAGAGAAATCTGCTATCTCCACAAACTAGGCATATAGCTGAGATCCTCCTATCAGGAGGCTCTAGTAGACTCTCGTAGGGGGGCCCTGTCCACAGTGCATCAGACAGGTCTCCACCTTTTACTACACAATGCCATTCAAGGTGATCTTGGCCCTGCAAACAGAGCAGTGCAGTCCGGAAAAGGTATTATCCTCAAGATGCAGAGAAGCCAAAAACCCAAGATGATGATGGGAACCTACCATAAGAATAGGTTAATGTAGCCCATCTGAATAAGGCACATGGTAGTACCCATTGTGTTCAGTCCTCCTCAGTGCTAACTCTTTTCAAGCTTATGGTGAGCCACTACATTGAATACATTTGTACGTTCTCTTCATTCCCATACCTGAGCTTTCTTTCCCATTTCCAATTGTTCCTGTTTCTTCACAAGACTTAAATGTCTAGCAAACATTAACAAATGAGGCCCTAAACAGTTCACACAGAATTCCTCTGTCGCCCCCCTCTTTGCCTGTTGCATCTGATTAGTGTGGCCCCACTCTCCATGAGAAATTGCCCTGCACATCATCTGCACATATATTTTTGGAGGATCCCAGGACTTGTGAAAATAATACCCGGTTCCAGACATGAGTGGTGGGGCTAATTAGCACATGGAGCTGTGGGGTCACTATAGCTTGAAATGCTGTTGACTCTGCTGGGGCTCAGCCCAACGAACGTTAGACTAATATAACGGCTTTGGACTAATATAATGCAAGTCCTCTTGTGGGCTAAGATCAAATGTAGTCACAGCACTGGTCTGGAACCTAAGCCCAAATGGATTTAAATGGCATTGTATAGTGGACGGCAAACCCCTGTCCAAATGCATTGCAGACAGGACACCCTATGAGTCTTGTAATTAGCTTCCCACTGCCCGGCTTCCAATGGAAGGATCTTGGCTACATGCGTACTTCATGGGCTACTCCTTAGCTTGCTCCTCTAGCCACTGGATGAAAGCAAAGAAGACTTGGGGGCATCTGAATCCCAAGCCTCTGCGCCTGCATGGATAGATTTGGAAGTATTTGTCCATGCCTGCCCATGGATTTGGAAGTATCTGAAGCCCCAGGCTGAAAAGTTTCAGGTGGAGGATACTTGCCAGTTGCAGCACCACATATTGTGTTTGAATGACTGAGTTTTGCTCTGTCAAAAGGATTTGGAACTGATTTGGCTAATTTGACCTGGAACACAAAACATTCCCCCCCCCCCAAAATCTAAGTAGGTACAAAAGTGCTGTTTAAAAGCATGTTTATGGAGTGCTTGTTACAACTTGTAGCCATCTAAAAAAAGGTAAAATGCATCAATTCTGGATGAACTTTATTTCAAGGTCAGTGTTCTCAAATTTGCTTTTCACTTCCATGTGTTCACGAAGAGCAGGGTCTGACAGTAAGGGACTGCAGGGGAGGAAGTTGGTAGGGGCAGAGGGCAAGGGGACCACTTGACCCCTCCAGATTTATTTTACTTGCTGTAGCATTGGGAGGAAGAGAAATTCAAGGCAAAGGTCAAATAATTAGATTTCATACCCGGAAAATTATAACAAATTATAATGTATTAATTATTGGGGGATGTCTTATATTCAGAGTTGTCTTATATTCAAGTAACTTTGGTAAAATTAAAAACCAATAAAGTATACATACTATCATAGGCTTGGAAACATTAAAAATTGTCCTCAGGCCCAGCAAGGAAGGAGTGGCACTGAAAATCAACAGTGCAATACCGATTAACATTAAATGCTCAGGTGCACACCCTCTGGTTGCTGGAACAGGTTTTGAATGAATGGCAGCTGGGAATTAAGTAAAGGAATGGAAACGTGGGAGTTGGTTGCTGGTGTATGCTCAGGGATGTAGTATTAAACAGTCTCATCTTGTGCTGCAGATGATTATGATGATTATGTAACTTCAGTAAAAAATTGCCACCCCCCTCCAAAATCAGCACTCTATTTACACACTTTAATATAGCTAACAATTATTATAGACAGGCATAGAATGAAATGATCATGATTCTACCAGCAGGGGAATTTATGGAAAAAAAACCTGGCTAACTGCAGGTAAGATTCATGCATAAAAATGCATAATTGAGGTGAAGAAAAACATGGCATTTTTATGTTTAAATGGAATGCAGCCATTATTTTCTAGAAGCAATTTCTTTCTCCTATTTTCCATGTGAAAACAATGTATCCACCACAGCCCTTCTGTCTATTATGTTGCAAAAAGAAGCCCCTTTACAATACAATTGCTTGGTTTTGATGTTCAGTCTTTATAAGACTTGAAATCTGTGCGATTCTACTAGATTGCATATCTTATTGACTGGCCCCTGTTGCCTGTTTGGCAAATGCCAATATTCTTACAAAAATATTCCCTGAAGGTTCAGTTCTGAGAGATGCTAGTACTCTTATCTCCCAGTGAAGTGAGCGGGAATTCAGAACACACAGTGGTTTGGGTTCTGGTCTTTTATTAGCAAAATATTAGTTCCAAATGTACAAGGTATAAAACTTACTAAAACAACAGGAAAAATCTGTATTACAGAAACTGTCTTTTAATAATGAATCTTATCCAGAATAATGGGCTACTGCAGCAGTATGTTCCAGTTTAGATATGGGACAATAAAACTAGACCATGAAGGACAGAAGGTATGTAAGCACATGCTTAAAGATAAGCATTCGTTTATGTACTTGCCTGAATTAAATGTGGGCATCCACTGACAAGGTAACACGACAATCCACAAGACTCATTACAGACTAATACATTTACCGCAGTAACTCCTCCTCCTATTATTCTGACCTTATTAGACAGGATGCCTATAAAAAGCTATCTAACCTTGAAACAAAATTTCTTATAGTGACACTACATTTTCCAAATAATGTTTCCATTGGTATTTAAAAATCTGTTCTTTTTACTACAACATATAAGCACAATCAATTGTTTGTATCTTCTATTCATTATACGGAGGGACTATCTGAAATATTTGTTAATTGCCAATGTAACTTTTCATGATTCAGAAAAAGAAGCAAAAAAGTCTCACCTGCACAGATATCTTGGGGGATTGGGAAGGTCTTTGACCATGTAACATTCTCCCCCATTTACACAGAAGGCTTTCTGTTTTATGTCACATTTTGTGAGATGACTTGTCCCCGTAGTAGATGTAGAAGTGGCTGGAAGAGAGAAGAGAAAGAATAAGAGTTAGATTTTCCCCCCTGAAGGGTCTTTATATTTCAGTACCCATTTATGCACAAATGGGAGGACTTGGAGGTCTGGGCTTGGGGAGAAGCGGTGATTTTTTTGAATTATCTGCCTTCCAGAATGACCACTGAGTCCTGGAAGGCAGTTTGAAAGCATAACTAGGTTAATAATTTTTTTAATGATCCATACACAATTGAGAAGAATAAAAACATCCACACATAGCAATCATCAGTACCTGTAAGTTCTACTAGAGCTAGAGGACATATTATTTATAAGGGCTGGGTAATTTAAGAGATATTATTTTAATTGCATGAAAGAACTTAAGTGATGGGACATTTGGGGTGGTGGCTGTCATGTACTCTATCTTTGTATAAGACCTACCATAAGCAGGCCTGGACTGACTGCCCCCCCAGTGTTTCTTCCATCAGTTAAACCAGTTAAATATTGTTAACTTTCATTTTCTGAACCTTTAATTTAAGCCTATCATAATTTTCCTAAGCAGGTTTCTAATTTTGTCTTAGACAAAATTACCTCTGCAGTATTTCCTACATTTCATTCCACCTAGTTTGGGGAATACATAGGGAGTTTTGCAACTCCTGGAGCAAGTATGATTAATTTATTCAGGGCAACTAAAGAATTTTTAAAGGGGGTCACTGTATTTCATGATAAATTATAGCCTTTTTCAGTAGCCTATAGCACCATAGTTAGGAAATAGGTGTAGCCTGGGTGAATGAAACTAGGGATGGGCCTATACTACAATTATTGCAGTGCGGTGTATCTTCAAACTAGCTGGAGTGGGTACTGGGAGTAATGGAGGATATAACTCAATATGGGCTGCAAAACCCACCTGAAAAGCTACATAAATACTTAAGCAAACAGCCCATGCTGCTGTACATATATATTACATCCCCAACACTTATATTTACACACACATGCACACATGCATGTACACACACACACACACAAAATAAAACTGCTCTTCTGATATGCTGTGTGACCTTAGACAAGTCAATTCATCCTCTAAAACAGGGATGACACTCTTTTTTCCTATATAAAGAAATCTACAAATGAGAAGTGGCTATAGAACAGGTACGCATTTTATTGAAGTGCTGAGCACATGTTAATAGCATGATTGCTTAGAGATAAATTCTGTCTCAGAGCTATTTTATATTATATCTATTTTACACATGCACAAATATTCCACAGAAGTTAGTTATAGCTGTGCAAATTCATCTAGGAGCACTATTCATTCCACTGTCATAAGAATTCTTGGTGAAGCTCTTTTTCAATAACAGGCATGTGCTGATATAACCTTCTTCATTCTAACAGGAAGGTAACCTCAATGACTGTCTGAAAATCAGGAAGAGGAAATAAGGAAGAGGAAATGCTTAATTCCTGCTCATTTGGACTCTTTGATCAGAGGATGATAATCAGTCCATACTAAAACTATGCTGGATGGAACATCATAGTCATATTAGGGTACAGAAAGTGACAGATCTTAATTTGGGTGCAGTGATTTTTAACATTTTATTTGGGCCAAGGGAATATTTATATGTAGCAAGAGGCAGATTACCTACCAATTACAGTGCATATAGGCTAGAAAGAAAACAGGCTTTTCTACAGGCCAGATCCACGGAAATGGAACTTGACCATTTTGTTTTCTCTTTTCTGAGAGACTGTATTAGTACCATTTGATTTTCAGTCATTTTCTATTGTCAGTTCATCTAACATGCATTGCTGTAACAGAGGAGAGCCTGGCTACTTAAGATACCACTACCCACTTTGTGCAATGCAATCGCAGTTGCCATTTTCCAACATGCTCAAGTCCACAACTCCCTTGTTTAAATGGGACAGGATTGATGGGGGCAAGGTATTTCAGTTCACTTCCACCCTCGGTCCAACACGGCCATATTTATCATCTGATATCATTCCTCCAGTATCTTTCAACACTGCCAGCCTCAGACACCCATTTGACACCTTCCCCAGAGCTCCAGCAAGCACTTGTGTGCTTTCTTCCCTGATACTTTGTATTCATGGAACATCCTCTCTTAACTAGTCCAGGAAGCTACTGTCCTGTTCCCTTCTGAGTTCTTCATACCCACAGCTAGCTGTGCATAGAGCTGACCCATTTATACAATATACATTCCTTTTATTGCTTTCCATGCCCTGCTTTCTTCTGAATGCTAGTTACACTCACTTGCTGCACTGTGCTGTACTGGGGCGCAGTTTTGATTAGGGCCTCTTAGCGCTAATTAAATACAAGTAATTAACTATTAGATGCCTGGTGACAGTACTCTCTTTTCCTCTGGCCCCTCAGGGCATGAGTTAATACCAAGTACATCTGAGTAAGCTCAGGCAAGGGCTAAACTAGGAAAGATGTCCTGTTTCACAAGTACTGGCTAACATTTTGGCTAATGTGAGTTAAACTGGACTATTTAACGTAGCAAGGACAATGCAGGTGGTCAGCCTTGTAGGGGAGTGTGATATATGCCTGGTTTTACTGGGTCACACATTCAGGGCCAGGTCCTATTCCACTGATTAGGCATGTAACTGGATTTAGATGACCATGTGTGATTCTGTTCCACTCTGCTCAAGTTCCACTCTCTGGAAACAGTTAACAGGAAAAGATGGGTGGGTCCTCCTCCTCACTGCTTCTATTTGACTCAGTCTTAGGGGTCAAATGATGATACGTTACAGAAGTAGATGCATTAATGAATTTTCAGGAACTTGATAAGAGTGGAATAGAATCACACTTAGGTGTTTAAGCCCACCTGGACACCCAATAGGTGGAATTGAATCTTGTCTTAGTGACATGTAAATTTAACAGAGGAAGAGTCTTAATAGGTGATGCTGACATATTAAGAAGACTGGGAGGTATAACTTAGTGTAAGCTAAGCTCTCCCCTCTAAATACAGCCCTACCTATATATCATGACTACCTAATGACTGCCTTTCCATTCTTTAAAATATTTCTTCCTGCAAATAAGACTATTGTTCTGAAGATGGTTCTGAAAGCTAATGCATTTATTTGGGGGTAAAAACAATCTTGTCCACCTGAGCACCTGCCAACAGAGGCTACTGCTCCCATGAAGGCTAATGGAATGTCTCTTGTCTAAACTGAAGAATAAAGATATTTTTAAATCTGCGGGTCCAGATGCCCTCCACCCAAGGGTGTTGAGGGAGCAGGCAGGGGTCATCGTGGAGCCCTTGGCCCGGCTGTATGAGCATTCGCTGTCATCTGGCCAGGTGCCGAGGGATTGGAAACTGGCTAATGTGGTCCCAATTTTCAAGAAAGGGAGGAAGGAGGACCCAAGTAACTATAGGCTTGTAAGCCTCACCTCGGTGCTCGGGAAGATCTTGGAGAGAATCATCAAGGAGCACATCTGTGGGGGGCCAGCAAGGGCGATCATGCTCAAGGGCAACCAGTATGGGTTCATCAAAGACAGGTCCTGCCTGACGAACCTGATTGCCTTTTATGACCAAGTAACTAAATCTTTGGATGATGGTGTCGCCGTGGACGTAGTCTTTCTAGACTTTAAGAAGGCCTTTGACACTGTCTCTCACCCCATCCTCATCAATAAATTAAGTGACTGTGG